AAAAAAAAAAAAAAAAAAAAAAAAAAAAAAAAAAAAAAAAAGAAGTTGACTTTTGAATTTATCTTTCACTTTTCCAATCCTTGGATGAGAAAAAAATTCCCTTCACTGCTCAATTGGTGCTCGACTTTGTTATTGATTCCACAATTCTGAGAGGGATTAAAATAAAAAACTTATAATATCTAGACAATGTCTGGTGTTTGAGAGACTCAGTGTAGGGTATTTTCCCCCACCCTACTATCTGCCCTTTGAAATGAGTGAGCGGAAGGGATGGTATGAAGTCTGAGGCACGAGGGAGCTGCTAACAAAGCTAGGCCCACTCCAGTTACACTGATGGAGCGCTGTGAGCAGCTGGCCAGGCTGGAATGTTGCGAATGCGGTGTCCAGGTCTGGACGCGTTATTTTAAGAGGCACATTAATAAACTTGAGCATTGCAGCAGGAAAGCGACTGTGTTATCTGAAGAGTACAGGAGAAAATACGGGTGTGTTAGACCAGGGAGGAAAACAATTTAGGGGAAGAAGACAGTAGAAAGATTGACACGTACGAGAAAGGCAAGACTTCATGTTCAAGTTGTAATGGGAAGTAGCAAGCAACTTTTTATTTGGAGTCACCAAGGATAATTTTTTCTTTGTTCTTTTTTTTTTTGTACTACTGGAATTTAGGGCTTCACACGAGCTAGGAAAGTGCTCTACCACTCAGCTACATCCTCAGCCCATAACCAAAAGTATCTTTTGACAGCAAGAGGTTATGACGGGGTGGTGAATACATAACATTGAGCTTCCCTCTGACCCCACTGCTCTCCCAGAAGCCAGGAGCCTCCTCTTAGAGATGAAGAGAAAAGGCTGGAAGACATTGAGTTGCTTAAGATGAATGGTTCCTATTATTTGAAACATCAAAGATCTGTGAAATGTCAAAAACTGGGGATCAACATGTTATCCTATAATCTTGCCACATACAGGATGAACTTCATAACTAAGGGTGTCAGCTCCATCCTGGACCAGCCTGTATGAGACCGAGGAGGCTCAGCATGACATGTGTGGAATGTTAGGCTGAATTCCTACACTGTCCTGTGGCTGTGGTCACTGCTGGCTGGGTGGCCCAGGAGGAGCCCTGCTCCCTGGACTCCTCATGTGACCCTTGGATCCTCCACTCTTAACATCTCCAACTGAGGACTTAGGGTCCAAAAGCTTCTTCAACAGTCCCAGAGTTAAGTCCACAACTTTGCATTACCTTTGTTAAATTTCAGCCCCATGATTTGGGATTTGATGGTTGCAACCTCACCACAGATGGTGCAGTTAAGGCACCAGGCTCCATTATTTCAAGCTGACTAATCTAAGCCATATGTTATCATTGTGTGGTTTTGACAGATATATATCATAAAACCTAAAGCTCTTTGGGATCTTCAGTAGTTCTAAGGGTGTAAAGAGATCACAAGGCCAAAGAATTTGAAAACCACTGGCCCAACCTAATCATAAATCCCATTTTTCTGCCAATGATTGGTTCAGAGGTGGGTGGGTCTAAATCACTTTGGGCCAATGAAATATGAGGATGGGCTTCCTGGGGTTTGGGGAAAGTAATATCCCTGCTCTTAGAAAGAAACCAGAAAAGGCTGTCCCTCCAGGCAAACAGGAATAGGGATATCTGTGGCTGCCATTCATCGTAGTCATCTTACAATAGGAGCCCCAGGATGCCACCACCAAGATGGTAAAGAGATGGAAATAACCTGATCTTTGGTGAATTTGCCATGTTTCTTCATCAAAGAATCCTAAAGCCCATTTTCTGTGCTCCCTGATACATGAGTCTCACTTATTAAACCAGTTATTGATTTATTTGCAGCCCAAAGCATTTTGACCCTCCATCCTGCCACCCATCCTAAGAATACTACTTCTTAGATTTATGGATTTTAGCTAAGCCTTCATATAGACCAACAGAAATGGTCATCAGTAGAGAGCAGAGCCCACTGGCCAGTCCTCTAAGTCTGGATGTGCTCCCGATTACTCCTGTTGAGTCAGCTGTTAAATTGCTCCACATTGGCCAGATCCAAAGGCCTCTTGTATTTTCCCCAAATAGACTAGAAGCCTTGGGAGGGAAGAAACTGCATTATCCTCTGCTTTGGACCCCTGCCTACCCTTTCAGAGAGGACAATGTGGATTGACTAGAAAAAAGGCATCTTAGAAAATATTCTTAAGTGGGTCTGCCACCCAACTTTATCCTTTCTCAACTTTGATATGCCTTTTCCAAACTTCTCCAACAACCCTCACCCCTGTCTAAGAGACAAACAACCTTCTGTCTCTCCCTGCATGCCCAACTGGCATTTAGCTATTGAAACAGCTTAAAGGTGCACCTCCTAAGGGCCTGCCCTTTAACAGTGAGGGGACAGAAGCTAGAGCACCCAACATGAGCTCTTTGGGGGATGAACTTGGTTTAAGTCCTATGTCTGCTACTCTATGAGCATGTTCCTTAACTCTCTGAGCCTCAATGTCCTCATCTGCAAAATGGAACTTTGCAATGAACAAATGAGGATTTAATGTAATTTATATAAAGCAGCTATCACATGGCAAATGTAAAGAACAACAAACTTCAGGGCCAGGGATCTATCTCCATGGTGCCACCGCCTGCCTTGCAAGCGCAAGGCCCTGAGTTCGATCGCTGGTACCAAAAAAAAAAGGAAGAAGAAAAAGAACAACAAACTTTGGTGGGGGTGGTTTGCTGAGGATCAAACCCAGGGCCTCAGTCATACCAAGCCTAACAACAAAAATTCATCAGACACTTACAAGGACCTGGAAATGAGTAAGATTTTCTTGTCTGTCACTGCAGGACAGATCACCCCTAATAGGTGCTCAGGAAATCTTTGTTCAGTGAACGCATGTAAGCCTCCGGGAGCTCACATTTTAGTGAGACGTGGATGCATATGGCACAGGCTTCGCAAAAATGGTAGGTCACGTGCAACACTGGCACAGCACCCAGAGGGGATCTTTCCTCAGGGAAAGGGGATAAAAGGGCTGGAGCTGATGGGCTCAAGTAGAGGCAGGAAGGACGTGTAAGAATCTGTCAGGAAAAGAGTATCAGGGAAGTGCTGTCCACAGAGGGCCCGTAAGGGCTCACAAGTCCATATGAGCCTCTAGAGACAGGGCTGTCCTGGGAGGGGGACAAGTGAGCCAAGTCCATCCCTGAGGGTGGCCCTGAACAGGAACTTCTGAATTTCAGTCCACAGCTCTCAGTGAGCACAGATTATGCATCTCGGCACATCCCTACGTTAAGTTGTTGGGTTCCCTTGACCAGTGTGTGCAGTCAGAATTATTAAGTCTATTTCCTCAATGAAGAAACTGAGGCACAGAGCAAGTAAGCCTTCTCCAGCTCCACCAAGGACACACTAACCAGCCTGGCTCTGAGCTACACAAAGCTGCTCTTTTGGTCTAATGAATAAAGCACCCCAGTCTGTGGTGGTACATGGCAAAGCTCACAGAGCCCAGGGTCCTCCTGAGCTTCACCTCCAGGAAAGGAAACCATGGCAATGAAGTGGGATAATAGGCCTGGGTGAGTGGGAGGTACGGGCTGCAGATAGCCCCCAGGCCTTGACTCCTGCCCGTGCTGGCTTCCCCTGTCCACACTGAGGCCCTGTAAACCCACAGGTCCCATTCCAGCATTGAGGGGGTGGTGTTTGACAGGCTTACCCGCTTCTCAATAGAAGAGTCATTCACGTTAACCCCACAGGCCAGGTCAGGCCTGGGGAAGGTTTCCGACCAGCCATCCTGCGTGCAGTTTCGGAACAGGGAACCTGTGGGTGCCAAGCATCTCACAGGTGAGCAGTGGGGACCAGTCACTATATTTGTATTACAGAATCTACAGTAACAAGTAAGTACTACCATTATTTTATGGCTAGGGAAACTGAGGATACAGTAGTTAAGTAATGTGCCAAAGATTGCACCCTAGTAAATGAGGAAAGGAGATTGGAACCCTGAAGCTCCAAGGCCCATGCTCCTACCATGCACTAAATATCAATCCCCTTTCTTACTCTTCCCTGTGCTTTGCCAGAACCTGTCATGTGACAGGCCATGTTACAGGTGGTCCCCAGAATATCTGGGGTGGTTGGCAAGGATCTGGCCACTTCTACAATAAACTCTTCTTAGGCTCTTGCTCTCACAAATACTGCTCCAGAAAGGAAGTTCTGTTTTATATCTAACTCCACACCATGCTCACTTGGCCATTGAGGAACCATAAGAATGCTACTGAGATAAGCCCTTCCAGGCAGCTGCTCTTCACAGGAGGGACAGCATAATTAGTCCATTAGCCACAATACTGAGGCCCCCTGTTGAGACAACTGCATTTCTGGGTGCCCTATACCCCAGCACAAAGTTGCAGGTGACCCCCTCTCCCTAGATGAGCAGTGGTTTCTGGCCTCCTGGGTGGGAGCCCAGAGTCCTTGGGCATCTACACTGGCTGGTTGGCTAGACAGGAAGGCAAATGAATGAGACTAAGGGCCTATGCCCAGCTCTTCTGATGGAGAGCGGACAGGTTTCCCACTGCAGCTGTGTGAGTGTTGGGGGGCTGCTGGGGATCAAATCTAGGGCTTCATGCTGCTAAGCACACTCACTACCCCCGAGCTACACTCCCACCCCTAGTCAGAGCTCTCAAAGCCAGAGCCCAAAGATGGGGGCAGGAGCTGTTGGCCTGGTGTCCCTGGGAGGAGTTACACTCCTTGCACCAAGTGATCCAGCTGCCATCTGTGCCCTGTGTCACCAAGGAGGACCAAAGCCTGGTTCCTTGGCTGGCTGGTGAGGGCACCACAGAATGAGGTCCCCAAGTCTTGTACACAGGAGCTGAGCCCAGGGTTACCTTAACAACCCCAGTGTGTCTGGCATGCTCCTCTCCCCCAGACCCCAGGGGCCAGGCCATCAATTACAAGGGTCAGGATCAAGTGGGCTCCATGGAGCTAGAGAACACAGCTGGCTTTTCTAGAGCCAGCCACTCTGCTCAGCAATTTATGTATGCACTCTGATCTAATCTTGTCTGTTTTGCAAACCAGAATCTATCCCATCACCCACTGGCCTTCTCCCTGTGGTCCCAAGGATGGCTTCTAGACCCTGGAGACCATGTCCTTTGGGCTTTTCCCAGTTAGTGAAGTTTCAGGATACCTAGAGCACAGGTCTAGAAATGGCCAGATCTGAGTTCAAAACTCAGCATTGCCTCTTAGTGGCTGTGTGCTCTTACACGCATCACTTCTCTGAGCCACACAGGAAGGAGCATCCACAGTGCAAGGGTGAGTAAGGTCCATGCCAGCACCTTCTCTTCTGAGCTTTCCAAAAGAGGCAGGAATGGACAGGAAGGCTTGGAATTAAGGGGTGGTAGGTTTGGAAAATTGAAACAAGGAGCTAGGCTGTCATATGTGGGTTTGTTAAATGGGAACACAAACTCCCTTGATCTCGGGGCTAAAGATATCCAACAGTGTCTGCTTAGAGGTGGCTCTCTGTGCTCTCAGCCCTGAGCATCCCGCCTGACTATTTGGGGCCTCTCTTCAAGTTCCCAGTAGGATTCCCAAGAGATCTGCATGTGACCCAAACCAGGTGCCCGGAGCTGCTGACAAAGCAGCATTCCCTCACCTAGTGCCACACAGACCCACCTGCAGGACTGCAAAAGATACGGTTGGATACTCTCTGGGATCCCTGCCTACTTTCCTGCACATAACTCCAACAAGTAAGGGATCCTTAACCCGACACAGGCCGGTGTACACCCCAGGGGACCCCTAAAAGCAGTCGGTATGTTTGTATGTACCCACGTGCAGTTTGAGGAAGAAACAATCTAAAGACTGGATGCGATTCTCAAGTCTCCAGGACCCAAACGAGGTTAGGAGCCGTTACTGCTAACAGGCCAGACCTCTGCTAAGCTAGAGGTGACAGAAGGCCCAGGCCCAACTCTGCCCAAAAATGTGTGTTTCAATAAGGAACACTGGAAGGCCAGCGCCCTTTCCAGAATAAAGGAGTGCATGCTAGAGGGAGCACTGCAGGTCTCCATGAGAACTATGTGAGGCGGAATGCAGCCCTACGTTTTCCTCACACAGACGCTCACCCTGTCCTGGCCCACACAGGCGGTGCCCTGGAAAGAGTCAATTTATGAAGTTTAGAATTTATTTTTCTTGAACACCACCTTGTTTTGACTGGGCACTCCTCTCCAGGGTTGGAATTGGAGCTGGGGTCGCCACTAGGGGTGGAGGGTGGGGAGGGGGACGACTTTCCTTCCCGATGGAAGATAAGGGGAGGAGTCTTGTGAGAGTCGACCTATGGCAGGGAAGGCTCTTGATGACCGGCCAAGGCGGGCAGGTCCTGACCTATGGTCTTGGGTAGGCAGCACTCAGAGGCCAGAGATGAACAGAACAAGACCATCCTTCCCAACACCCCAGGAGCTGGGCCCAGCAGTGCTAAGTAGCAGGGCCTCGGGGTGGACCTGCAGACCCACAGTGACACTGTGTGGTAGACAGATGAAACAGCAGCAGAGGCAGGCACAGCGACCCCAGCTTTCATTCTCAAGCATACAAACAGGGACCAACCATCTGGTCCCTCCTTGGGCCACGGCAACCTCAGGAGGGAGACAGTGGGATTCTGGCTAATAAGGCAGGTGGGAATTAATCAGTTCACTAGTTAGGTCTGTGCCAGGGCCGGCACTTGGTCATCCGTGTGGCGATGGCACAGGGTTTGCCTAGTCCCTCTGCAGAAGGCTGTGGGCATTGAGGGAGGGAAGACCAAGGCACTGTGGCTCTGGGGAAGCTTCAAAGCCGGGCTGGGAAGGAAAAGCTTCAAGTTTTTTCTGGTAGGAGAGAAGCCCATGGATGGAGCACTGGGCAGGAGTCAGAAATAAGGTCTGGCCCTGGCCTTGCATCTATCCACCCTGCTGCTCCAGGTCAACCACATCCTCATAACATCCTGTGGCCTTAGCTCCACAGCCCTGGACAGATGAGGAGAGGCCGTGCCAGAGGTAAAGACGGTTGGTAAGTTGCAGGTATTTGTGATGGGAAAGAGGCAGAGTTCAACGGGAAGGAGAAGGGCAGGAAAAGAGAGCGGGGGAGAATGGCTAGCACATTTGCAAGCACAACAGTACAGGATAGGGATTATTTATCCCCCCCTACACACACACACACACACACACACACATTCCCCCCCTCCACACACACACACACACACACACACACACACACACACACACACACAACTTGTGGGCCCTGGGAGAGGAGTGTAGATTCTTCTTACTGTAATTCTCTAGTATACGCAGCCACACACGTGCATATGAATGCTCTTGCACACATACACACAGACTTAAATAGCTGCTGTAACTCACTGTCTCTCAGCCTCACTCAACACCATGCAATACAGGAATGTGGGGGACCAAGAGTGGACACGATTCAACCCCACTCTTCCACTCACTGATTTGGTAACATTAGCTGCTGGAACAGACAAAACCCTCAGATCTCAAATCCTCCATATGATGTTGCCCCACATAAAGTCCAAAATGGCATCTCTGATTAGCAGGCATGTGGTGACACCAAGTTCCTGCATCTTTTCACTGTGGCCTCCAAGTGCAGGTCCAGGCTGGCTGGCAAAAGGACCCAGGGGTCATACCGGGAGGCCGAAGGCCAGCCTGACAGGAACACCCCTCTGCCCACATGCCTTCAGCCAGAACTGTCATACAACGATGGCACCTACCTGCCGGGGACATGTGGAAATGCAGTTCGGTGGAATGCTACTCACCTCATGGCCCAAGTGGACCACTGTCACCCAGCATCAATTTTTTTTTAGCTATAAACCAGTGAGGGGTTCTTTGACTTGCTCATGTGAAGGGACTTGTTGAGTGTGGGTTTCCCACCCTGTGTGGGTGAGGGAGGAAGCAGCAGAGCCAGGCCAGAGCAAGCAAAAGATAACAAAGGACCTCCACCAGGGGGCGGGGAAAGGGCATGAACCTATCCTGCCTCCTCCAGGGCCACCCTGATCGGGGGAGCCTGGACTTACATTGACTAAGCCACCAGGGGCAAAGCACTGGTTTTGGAAATCAGTGCTTGAGCTTGAGTCTTAGTGTTTCCACCTGTTGCTGAGAACGTTAAGGCAACTGCCAAACCTCTCTTAGTCCTTGTTTTTTGTTACTACTCTTCATGGGTCAAATGATTCGTTGTGCTTGAGAAAGAAAGATACGTGATGTACAGGGGTTTGGTTGTCACTAATGAGCCCATGTGTATGTAAATGACTGGCAGAAGGCATAGAAGAAGTGACCATTCCTGAAGGCCAGATTGTTTGGCACTGCCAGGTGGGGTCCAGTTATAGAGGCTGAAGCTGGGGCCTGGTTGCTAAGGAGATAGAAACATGGAAGGAAGGAGAGGCACTCCCAAATGGGGGTCAGAGAGATGCAAATCCAACTTCTTTAACACTTTCCCCAGGGCCTTGCCTCCTGCGCACTTCCTTGGGAGAACTGAGCCTCCTCCCTACCAAGGTTACCAATCCCCAGCAAGCATCCCTCTCAGCACTTCACCCAGTGCTTGTCCCCTGACAAGGCTCTGGGTCTCCTGTGCTAGGCTGAGGCCCCACCCAGGGGCCACCCCATAACCTCTCACCCAGGCCCTCAGGCTGAGTGGTTACCATTCCTGCTCGTGAGCATCCGGAGGAACCTCGGGCACTCCACTTCCACAGTCCGTCCTGGCGCGGAGGAGGGCCAGCAGCTCATGTTGTCCCACAGCCCTGCACAGCCTGCAGGGAAGAACACAGCACCAGACTGGGATGCGGCAGGAGCCACGGGGGCCATCGCCAACCTCTTCATCCCCATGCCTCTTGCCTGCTCAGGTTGTCATTAGACACTTCCAAAGTTCCCATTAGGAACTGATGCCAGTGGTGTTTAATGAATGTTCACGTTTATCTTTGAGGCTGGGACCTGCCAGCTTCATGGGAAGCGCTTTGTGCTGAAGCCACAGAGGAAGGCAGGAGCTCATGGTATCTGGAATAAGGCCGTGTGCAGGTGTGGATTTCTCTGGACTAGAAGGTGGCTTCGGCTTGTCGACAGCAGTGGGCCTCCCTCCTGAATGCATAGTACAACCAGCTGGAGATCCTCACAGATACACATAACCCATCCGGCACCCACGGATTCCAATGGACTTGGTCTGGGCAGGGTCAGGGGTGATATCAGGGTGGAGCTTTGCAGGTAATCCTGATATGACTCTTGTCCCTTAACTCATGAACTTGAGCTTGCAGCAGCGCTACCTAGAAGTCTTGTTATGATATGGATTGCTCAGCAGGTGAGGGGTGGGGCCTGAAAATGTGCACTTCAAAGAAGTCCTCAGGTGAGGCTGCTGCTGCTGCTAGGGGACCCACTTTGAGACCCACTGCCCTGGTCACCGCTGTACACTGTACTAGTGGTAGGAATATTGTTGAGGGTGCTGCTATCTCACTGTGTTCACTTTATGAAGTGTGCTCCTGCGCACTCAGTGAGAAGGTGAGCTCCGTGCAAGCAATCAGTATACATCTGTCCTTCCAGACACTAAGTCTTGAAGCTGGTTTCCTCTTTCATTTTTTTGGCTGTTAGGAAACTCACAGCCAGATTGCTGGTTTGTTTCTGATAACTGGAAGATTTTGAAATGAACGAAAATGACTACTGGGTATCTTTGATGCAGAAGTAGGCATTGTCTAAGAACAGCCTTTTGCATTCTCTGACTCTATGAAGTCCTGGGCCTTTTACTGTCTTTGAGCAATGTCACACTGTAATTTGTAGATAATTGATACCTATGCAAAAGGGCTTTGTTCACAGACATACAAACAATCACAGTCCACTCAGAATACAACTGATCTCAGTTCTCTCCCCTTGTATTCAGCCAACTTTGCATACACTTATAAATTCTTCTTACCATTCTGCCGTATATGTGTGGTACTTTCAATTCACTTATGAATCAGCAGAAATATCTTTCTGATTTCCTCACCAATTAAATGAAATGTCAGGCAGCTATTGATTTTATATTTGCGTGTGTGCTATGATTATGTCCTTAAGCATTATCATGTCACATAACCACCCACCGATTCTCCTGACGTTGATCTCAGGGCTTAGGAAACCAGGGAAATTCCTTCCATGACAGGCTTCTGGTGACCCAGGCCACCACCATTGAGGACAGGTATTGACAAGACAAAATGGGCTGAAATGATGCCCATGAAGGAAGCAGCAGTCACGCTGAACCGCTCTGGGGAGCCCTGCACAGCTGTGCCACCCCAAAGTCACTGAGAAAAGGGCAGGACTCTCAAATCTGGCAGCCTGATAGCCAAGCTTGATGCCCTGGCCATTTCCTTTTCTCCTCTGAGATAACAAATGCCCCATCCTGAGGTTGTCAGGAGATGATCACAAAGACCATATGCACAGCCTGCACCCTGTGGGTGGTGGTGAATGGCAGCCCCTTCTGCTCTCATCTTCCTTAGGCTGCTGTTTTCATCCTAGCAGCTGGAGGATGGCCGGATGGTTTTCTGAACTGCAGTTTTCAGCTCTGTGGACTGGGAATGCAATGGGCTACAGCGTTATTGGAGTGGTGAGAGAGCAAGTTCCCAGTTTAAAAAGAGCAACATTTCTATTTTCAGTCATGAATCCAACTGGGCTCAAAGTGTCACCTCCATCCCTTCTGTGTGAAGTCTCCCTGGCAACCTGCCGCACTGCAGAAGTTCTGACCCTTGGCCCACATCAGGATCAGCTGGGAGCATGTCCTTTGTGCAGATCTCCAGGCCTCACCCTGAGATTCTAGTTTGCCCACTCAGAGGCCGACCCAGGGGTCTACACCTTAGGAGCTTGCCAGAGATGTTGCTGTCTGTGATCTTCACGCCCTACTTTGAGAGTCTACCCTGCATCTCTCTCCTTCCCACCCAAGGCCACCCCTGGCTCCCAGGAAACAGTGACATAGGCAGCCAAGGAGGACAGCGGAGGTTACTGCCTGTCAGCAGCTTCTGGATGCAGAGCCCCACATATACCAGACAGAGCTCCTCCAGGAGCAGGAGCCTTCCTGACCGCCCACCACTTAATTCCCCACACCAGAACTGGCCTGGCTTCGTGAAGACACTCAATGCTCACGGCAAGGGAGCAGACAAATGGACCAGTGTCACATCTCTTGCTCCCTCACTGGGACTGTCCTGCATCTCTATAAGCAGGCTTTTGCTTCGATGCCCACGTGGTTCCCAATTCCATGTCTTGTCCTGACCCATCCTCCACCCTCACCCTTCCTGCCAAATCTACTTTTGTGCTAATAGGAGGTGCCCACGGTACCCAGCTCAACCCCATCTTACAGAGAAAGCCATGAAGCAGAGTGAGGGGCAGTGGCTTCCAGGGGCCAAACAGATAGGAAATGCTGGGAGTGTCTCTGCCCACCCAGTCCTTAGTGCCACTTAGCAGCCTCTGCCCACCAGACCGAAGGCTCCAGTCCATGTGACTGATGACCCACGCCCAGCTGGATAGACAGGCAGAGGTGCCAGGATGTCTAAGAACCTTCCTGAGCTGGGTCATGTCAGGCAGAGACCACAGGGACACTAAGCCTAGTGCTGGCAGAGGGTAGGAGGAATGCCTGGGGTCCAGTCAGTGGGCCTGCTGCCATCTGGCTCAATGTCACACCCTTTGCGCCTGTCACACATAGAGAAAAGGCACTCTAGACAAGCAGGGCCATACCAGACCTGCACTGGACACACAACAGATGTCCTGCAGCTGAATGTCACAGCAGCCCGGGGGTCAGGGAGGACCACTGCTCACGGTAGAGAAGAGGAACTCAGGGTTCCAAGGGCACAGAGACAAGTGCAGGGTGACAGGCCTAGTACCAGCAGCACAGGGATCCCACCCAGCCTTCCTGTCTCCCCACCCGGGGAAGATCCCACCTGGCAGGATGCCCCTGGGTGTCAACACACAGAAGTCTAGACAAGAGCATGATGAACACACCCCTGGGATGTTTGGAGCGTACATGGTCGAACATTTTTATTTTGTAGTCACAAAAATTTTAGAAAATCTAAAATGTATTCAAAAAATTGTAAAGGCTAGCTTTTGACATCTGTGTTTCATAGCTACTATTAGTTCGGAGGGGCCTGTTTTTATAAATTCCACTGATTTAAAGGGAAAAATATTAAGGATGCCACAGTAGAAATGACACAAGGCTGTGGGCTCCTGACTGACTGCAGGGACCTTCTGCACTGCTCCCTGGGTGTGAGCGGAGTGAGCATCTCACACCTGGCTCCCAGATGCCCTTCCCCAGGCCAGGTGGGAATGGGAGATGGGGAGGACACTTACTGTCCACGTGAGAACCCTGTCCAGGGGAGCTCTAGCGGGAAGAGACAGCCAGAACTGGGGTAGCTGTGGGGTCCTGGCAGCTTCGATCCAGAGCAACACACACATCACCACCTGAATCAGGCAGGAGTGTTAGTGAGATGAGGGCCTCGTGGGGGAACACAGCTCCTGACTGCTGAGAGACAGTCACCGCCTCCAGAGAACCCAGGCCAAAATGAGCGTAAGGTCGCTGCTGTCCCTGTAACTGCCTGATGCAGAAGACAGGATGGAAGGATGGGAGGTTTAAGTGGAGACGCCAGGGCAAGCAATGCCATGCCACAGACACCATCTAGGGGAGCAGGAGATGCCCACTGCGTGTGAGGATAGAGTGGGGTACGGGGTTGAGGCAGGTGGCATGATGGAGACAGAGTCAGCATTGGACCCAAGCTTACCTTAGGCTTGGCCTTGCCACTCTGCTCTGTAAGCCTCAGTTTCCTCATTTATAAAGAGGGCATCGTAACATTCTCCAGTATATTTGTGAGAAATGAATGATGTGTGTATGTAATAGAATATTCTCTCATCTATTAACCCCTGCTCTTCTTAATTTTCCTGGCATGGTTTTCCCCTTTCATCTCACCTCCACTCTCAAAATACTGGTTGGAAGTCTCAGAGAGGGCAAGGACTCTCCACGTCTTTTTTGCTGGAGTTTCCAAAGGCCGCTGGAAGAATGAAAGGCATTCTGACGTCATCTCAAGGGAAAAAATAGAAAGCAAAGCAAGACTTCCTCAGACGGGGGAGAAATGGAGGAGGAAAGATAAGCAGGGACATCGAAGGTTCCAGAAAGAGCCTTGCTGCCCAGCCACCCCCAGCTGGCAGGATGGACAGCCCAGAGGAGAGTGGCTATGGGACCGTGTCTAGTGAGACCACACACAGTCTTGCAGAGACTGTGCCCCCAGCCATACACGAAAGGGTCATCTGGCTGGGGACAGGTCTGTCGGCCACCATCCCCATGGAGCAATACGAGATAGAGGTGCTAAGTGACTCTCTGGTACCCCTGGAAAGCTGGGGGGAAGATCCAGAAAATAACAAGCCTTAAGTTTCTGCCCCTCTAGGAAAATGGAGTCAAAGTGATAGAAAACGGAAAATGTTCTATTTTCAGCCAACAGAGTTTAGAGACTCTTTTAGGTTTCTTTCCTTTAGATTTATGAAGGCCCTGACCCTGGGCCAGGCCTAAGACAGACACTCACCACCATCATCCTGCCTATGGGGACAAAGAGGTGGCCTCAGAGGCAGATTTGTGATGGGGTAGGGCTAGGAGGAGGAAGGGCAACCCTGGGGGTCAGAATGGCACCCTGGGTATCTCTAGACTGCCCTACCAGCCTGGCACCTGGCACACCAAGAGCTCTCTGTTGATGAGTGTGTTCTGTGTCCAACCACCGTGGAGCATCCATCTTCCAGTCCTTGGCTTATTTATAAATGAGCTCAGATGGCCTGATGATAACCTGGGACTATTTCTGGAGTAGTATGAAAGGCTGCAGTGATGGGAGGGCCAGGAACAATCACTGCCCTCAGGGCCTTGCTGGATTAGGTTTTGGGGATATGGGCACTGTGTCCCTCCATGCCCCCTCCACATCCTGGATGCTCACTTTGCCTGCTGATGGAAGTCACCGGGGAATCCAGAGCTCCTCCTGGCCTGGTCCCCCAAGTCTTCCTGTGGCTTCTGCATGTCAGCATCGGCCCTTTCCTCTGCCTGGGGACTGTCACATTCAGCTCCCGAGCATTGGAGGCTAAGTCCTTCCTCTCCTGGGGACTGTGCAGACTCCTGAGGGACCCTCTTGTCTTCCTCCCCTAGCCTAAAGACCTTCATTCTGTGCTACTTATCACATTAATTGGCACTGACCATCTTTCTCTTTTTTTTTTCTTTTCCACAGAAAGCCATTCCTGAGAGGATCCAGGACATCAGTTACTCACAGCTCTTTTGTGCTGAGTTTGAACAGAACAAATTACAAACCAGTGAATAGCTCAGGAAAAGATTTGGGCTGAGAGTCCTATTTCATCTCTGTGTGACCGTAGGTCCTCTGACCCTCAGTTTCTCATTTGTGACATGGGGATAATAATAGCAATAAGCAATGATATCAGACCTCCAAATAATATAGAGGAAATATTATAACTCCCAACCTGTCAGATGTCAGATATGCCAAGTTTGTGTTCCCCCAAATCAAAGAATGAGTTCTAAGAAAAAACTGAGGATAAGAGTAGAAAACATTTACTGAAAGAAGAGATTTTTAGATCCTGAGAGGCAGGAGGGGTCCCAAATGGGTGGCTGAGCTCCCTACTTCACAGGGGAAGTTTTATAAAGCACAGTCACGTGGGTACAATGTGAGTTAATGCTATGATGAACCGATAGGGTTACAAGTACAATCACTTAGGTAACAGTGATCCAATGGGGAAGCAGGTCATGTAGCAAGTGTACATGGAAAGAACAAAGAACTTTTCAGGAATGGATGGGTCCAAAGGTCTTGGTCACCTACTGAGGTGACTGATGTCGATGTAGCCTTCATTAGACCAGGTGTTACCACTTATCTCATCCCTCGGGGAAATATGCAGGCCTGGTCATTTTGTATTTATCTTGGGGCCTGGCCTCCTACCGATGTGCCTCCAGCCACAGATGTAATGTATTTTCATCTTCTGCACTGACTCCCTCAGGGCCCAGCCCTATTTGACCGCCTATAATATTTCTACCTAACTTAGCCATCTATAATAACAATACTTACCACGTTGTTATTTTAAGAAGTAAAAATTTTACAAATTGTCTAAGATGTTACATGAAATCTACAAAATAAGTTAAATTATTTCTGAAAAATGAGCCAAGATCAGTTGTTCTGAGACAGGTGAGTTCAAGTGAGCCGTGGTCAATTTAGAGAAACTGCATTAAAAGCCAGCACATAAAAAGTACTGATTCATATACATAATGGACGAACCTCAAAAACAGAATGTTAATGAAGAAGACAGACACAAAAGGTCACACATTGTATGAGTCTATCTTTATGAAATGCCCAAGTTGGTAGCCCCACAGAGACAGAGCAGGTAAGTGATTACCAGTGGCTGGGATGCTCAGTGAGTCCTTACTGGGTGCTGGGCTTTATTTCAGGGCAATGGGCGCATTTTGGAAATAGAAATAGTGGTTGCATAATACTATGATTGTACCAAATGCCATGGAACTGCTCACTTTAATGTTATATGAATTTCACCTAAATAAAAGCAAATTTAAAAAACAAATAAATAAATAAGAACCCATTTCTTCCCACTTGTGCTCTGGGGAGTAGGCAGCTGGCTGGGCAGTAGGGAGCTGGCACGTCCTTACTCAAAGGTGAGGTTACCAAGGCCCAGAGAGGACAAGTCTTGTGAGGCGACCACACAGCAGCAAAGTGACAGAGAAGGACATATGCCTAGGTCTCTCTGACTGCAGAGCCTACACTTTTGCTGCTACCACACAGTCCTTCTGGAACATTCTTTCTCTAGGGAGAGCCAGAGGCTTTCCAGCAGCCAGCTCGGAGCAAGTCCTGTCTTCTGTAAACAGAGCACTAACTATCCCAGTAGAGCAGGCCATGTAGTTATTAGGGTGACCCTGAAATGTTCCCACAAAATGTCGGGAAGGCCTTGGCCACTTAACCTGGAATAGCTGAAAAGTTAATTTTTTATTTGTGGTAAGTATGTTGGGTTGGTGACAGCTCTGTGACTGGCATTTCCTGTGATTTGTTTGACTTTCAAACATTAACCACCCCAGGAATACCAGGCAGCTTAACTATTAACTCTGTACCCCCAGCAGAGAGTCCCACGTCCCTTCCCAGATCAGGCACTAGGACAGAGCCTTGGGCCAGATGGAGGACTTTGGCTGAATTCCCAGGGGACCTGCTGGCCTGAGTGAAAGGCACAGACATTTGGCACCTCCATGTCACTCCCTGCAGGACTTCCCATGAGATTCACAGGTCACGGGCCCCTCAAAGACCCGCTGCCAGGTTCTGATGTAGACACTTCCAACTACGCTGTCCCTCCTCATTGCTTTCATTGCGGCCTTTCAGGGGCTCTACAACTCTGCCACCACATCTGTCCCACCCTCCCTTATGGAGCCCCATGCCTTACTTTGTCAGCCACATGGCCAGCAGGCCGGAAAATCTTTCCGGCACACACGATCCTCCCATCTCCTGTATCACCAGGACTTTAAAACCATGTCTCAAAGCACCAAACCCCTTTGGCTTCCTGGAAACTGCAGAGGCCAGTATGCAAAACAGATCCAAGCAGAGGCCTACTGACAAAAGGCAACGCCAGTCCGCCACCCTGTCACCCACCTGCATGGAGTCCTCCTTGGTTTGGCAGCCAGGGCTTTGAGAATGTAGCTGGGCAAGTGGCCCACAGGAAAGGTGCTGTCCACAGACAGGGCTCAGCATGCAGGTGGGTAGTGGACGCTAGCCAGCCATGGCCGAGGTCAGCCTGTCTGCATGAGGAGCTGGAGAGAGGCCGTGAGAGGAGCTCTTTACTATAAGATGCCTGCTTTCCCACAACAGCATCATGAGGTCAATAGGTTATTGTTCCCTCAGAAATGGCAAGCTGAGGAGAAGAGGGAAGCCTCTTACACAAGACTGCCAGCAGGGGGCGGCAGCGCTGAGACCCTGCAGGGCATAGGCTCCCTGCCTGGATCCAGGCAGTCAGAGTGGTTTGACAGCCACCTGCTCTCATTTACAAGAGTGAGTCTGCCTTGCATTGTGAGGCAACAGACATGAGCACAGGCCCCACCCAACCAGGCCACCCAGACTGAGGCCAGGTTAGGGTGGACAGATCCAGCTCAATGTTCCCTACAGGAGGACTGAGGAGGACCAGGCCTCATCGCTCTCTGCCCAGAGCAGGCCCTGAAGATTTTCCATCCAAAGGAGATCATGGCTAAATGGCCTCAACTAATTTGTGACAAGCCAGCCACTCTGGAAGCAATCACATCTTCACTCCCAGCGCTGACTTCTGTGCTCAGCCCTCAATTCTACACATCCTAAACTGAACTCCTCTCCCCTAGATACCTCACGTTCCTTCATTTCTTCCTCCAGATGCTCAAGGCCAACATCTGGGGCATCCTGGGTTCCCCCTGCTCCACCTCACCTGGGGTCCAGTTCATGGACAAGTCTGGTCAATGTTACCACCTAAATGGCTCTTACCCGTCCGTCTTCTCCCTTCCCCACTGCCCTTCAGAGCACCCTGTGTTCCCTGGCCCTAACCCTTTTTGTGCCTGCCAACTTTGCTGTCCACTGCTGACTGCACCTCTCATCTGGTGGCATTGTCCAGCTATGGGAGCCCACTCATCTCCCAAGCAGAGCAGGCTGGAATTCCAGAAGAAATGCTGCTACCTTGCCTCTGACTTTTAGGGATCGGTGACCAATTACTCTGGCATCTTTACTCCTGATGTGTGCTTCACCTATCTCCTCAGTGCCCCATTGGGATGACACTCCAGTTGCTCAGGGTGAAAACACAATGTCCACCAAATATCTTCCCTGTCCAGTCTTGGTTCCCACAGCTCTACACATTACCTGCTTCTGGGGAACCCCAAGACACCCATCTAGTCACAGCAATCAATGTATCTTGCCCAGGCCAGCAGCACCCCAGTGGGCATCTCTGAACCTACTGGTGTCCTTCTCCAGCCCGTCAATGATGCTGTGGCAAGGGTGATCTTTCACAACAGATAATCCCGCCATTCGCTTCAAAGACTCTCCGTGGATTTCCATCACTTAACAATCAGGATGAAAGTCCTCCAAGTGGTTGGAGAACTTCTATGTGCCAAGGTCACGCTGCTCCCTTGCATCTCTGTCCCTGGTAATGATCAGGCATGCTCAGAGCTTAGTTCGAACATCACTTCCTCAGCAAAGCCCCCATGGAGGCCTAGAGCACTCAAGACCCCTGGTTCTAAGGCAGACAGAGCAGCACACTGTACTTATGTTGTTATTTTACATGGATTTATAATTAATTGATTCAATTCTCTCTTCAGAGTTGGGATGGCTGTGGCAGAGACTGCCCATTGGCTGTGCTTCTCTTCTTTCTCACTTGCAGAATCTGGGTTGTTAAAGGCAGCCATGTGCACAGCTGGAAGTCTGAATTATCAGCTTCCGTTGCAGCCAGGGGTAGCTGTGTGGTCTAATTTTGTTCATGAAATGAAGGGTAAGCAGAAGCCATCCAGAAAGTTTCAGGGAAGCGTGGCTCCTTGGCTTTCCTCCCTGAAGGTGCAGCTGCCATTGTACCACCACAAGGACAGAGGCCACATATTAAGGCAGAAGACACAGGAGTCTGGAATATTGCACCAGCTCTAGCCTTTTTTGTAACAGTAACATTTGGTGGAGCCAACACATAGAATTTCTGCCACATGGGGCAAAATGCATTCCTCAGTGCTGACAGAAGGGTCTATATGCTGCTTTCCCACTATCATATTCTCACCTGATACCGTTAAGTGCCTCACATACAATTTTTGAATGAGTGCCTTTCACGTCATACCAATAACTTAAAATAGACATGGAAATTGAAGGCTAGAGACATGAAATAACTTGTTCAAGATCAGTCACCCAACTTAAAAGCCTGGATTTTTAAAAACTAAAGTAACACCGTATCATAAAAATTAACCATTAACCATTTAAAGTGTACAATTCAGTATCATTTGGCTCAATCACAATACCACATTATGCAACCATCCCCTCTCTCTTGTCTAAGACATTTTCATAGCCCCTAAAGGAACCGGTACCCAACACATAATCACTCCCTGTTGTCTGTCCCCTCATCCCTTGTCACTACTAACGCAATTTAGAGATTTGCCTACTCTGGGCATTTTGTATAAGTGGAATAATATGATATGTAAGTCTTTCTAGCTGGCTTATTTCACTTAGCACCATGTTTTTCAAGGTGCATCTATGTTGTAGCATGTATTCACTCATACCCCACCACCACCACCCTGCCCTTCTCCTGCTGGGATGGAACCCAGGGCTTCGAGCAGGATAAGCAAGCATCTGACACTGACCTACCCTCCCAGCCCCTTTCACTCCTTTTCAAAGCTGAATAATGGTCCATTATATAAGTATGCTCATCCATTCAATTGATGGATATTTGGATTATCTTCACTCTTGAGCATTACAAATAATGCTGCTGTGAACAATCAGTTACAGTTATTTGAATACTTACAATAGATACTCTTCTTAATTCCACTCCCTTAGATGATAAAAAGCAAGAATAGAAGTTAAGGGAGGGGAACATCTTACATTTAATTGTAGAACTAATTATAAAGTGTTAATAATAATTAATATTGACAGCAATATTTACAGAGCTCCTAGATTTTATATGCTACCTCATCTAGAAGTAGACATTTTCCCCTATGTTCTACAGAAAACTGAGGCTCAGGGTACTAAATCATTTGCCTCTGGTCACATAGCCAGTGAGAGTCAGAAGCATGAGATGGCAAGTTTCTCTGGCGCCACCCTGCATTTCCGCTTTCCTCGCTCATCAAATCTGCAGTAGAGGTGACAGTGACAACAATAGCAAACCACCTTCCACACAGCTCCCACCAAACCTTCACTGTGATGACGCCTGCGTGCAGGAGCTGATAGTAAGAAAGTACTAGCTGTCCCCACATGCTGCACAGAGGAGAGGAGCTGCTAGCTTCTGGGTCTGTGCAGAGAACCAGAGCCCTGTTGGTTGAGTGAACAAAGCTGGACCTGACCCCACATCTCATCCTGGCCCAGTGGAACTGCACACAAGTGTGTATTCAGCTGAAAGAATCTCATACCTGGTTCTAGTGACTCCAGGACCAGATCCCCTTTCCCATCCCTGGAGAGCTCCTGTAGACATTGGTCCCGTTCCTCACGCAGCACGCGCAGCACATCACACAGCCGGGTCAGGGCTCCAGCCTGCAAGTCCAAGACCAAGGACACTCATCACTGCTGCCAACTGATCCTATCACACACAGAATTTCTGTGAGAAAGAATGGGGGCTAGATAACAGGCATAAAAACTAGCAAAGCCAAGCCCACAAAGAGCTCCTAGTCAGCAGGGAGGCAAAGGCAACCACTCCTGGGAGAGAATACAGTGCACGGCCAGGTCAGCCAAGATGCTCCCCACCATCCATAGTTTGTCTGCTCTTAAGTTAAAGGAGAATCCCAAGTCCAGCAGGCTGTTTGCTTCCTGCACAGTCGCTGCTACTATTCTATAAGACTAATTACTTTATGTCTCTCCAACTTTGTGGGTATCTGTGAAAGAATAGATTTGATTTAGACAAGTCTTTGGAACCTACTCTTAGCCATCTCCTTTACCCATAGAAGAAGAACATGTGTCCAGGTTGGACAAATGTGACTTCAGGAGGAGAGACACAGCACAGAGGAGGGACAGGCATGTAACACTGGCTCCCTGGCTCTTCTCTAGCATCACTCCATTAGCTCACTGGTGTCAGACACCAGTGATATGTATGCTGGAAAAATAAGTGAACGCACAATTTTACAGATACATGAATGGGACTCCTAGTCTGCTTACAAAATATGGATATCGAATTTTAATACTGCAGTCTTCTTATACACATTATCTCAGTCAGTTCTTGTAATACTCCCATAAAGAGAGAGAAGGAAATTGTCTCATGGTTCGTGGTCGCTACAGGATATGACCAGAATCATACATCAGGGCTCTAGATTTCAGGAAGTAGCCTTCCAAGAGGTCAAAGACCAGGTCTGACACCATGTTATCAGCCCTTCACTGACACTTTGTAGATGAAAATTCCAACATAAAGAGTGGGGGGGGGCATGTCCCTGGGGACAAAGACAGACTCCAAAATGCTCTAAATAAACAAAAACCCTGGGAGAAGGACAGCAAAGGCACCATTACTTTCAGGCATACTGCATTTTAAAACACAATTAAACTATGTACTATCAACAAGAAATTTAAAACCTAAAATATTTAAGTAAAATGATATATAGGCTGATTGAAAGGGTAGAAAAAATAAGTCATGCAATCATTGCTCAAAAAAGCCAGAATGACTATATTAACATTAGATAGAGCTTAGAGCAAAACATGACCAGAGACAGAGACATTGTGTAATGACAAAAAAAGCAAAGCCATCAAAGCTATATAACAATTCTAAGTGAGTAGGCATAAAACAAAGCTATAAAATAAATGAAGCAAAAATCAGTAACACTGAAAGGAGAAATAGATGAATCGACAATTTTAGTTGATGACTACATATCCTCTCAACAACTGATAGAAAATCATCAAGGATACAGGAAAATAACACTAGCCAACATAATTAATCAACATTCATAGAATACTCTGTCCAACCTCAGCAGAAAGCACATTTTCATCAAGTGTCCACAGACTATATATTCCAAGATGACCATATTCTGGGACATAAGAAAAGTCCTGAAAAATGTAAAAGAACTTAAACCATACAGAATGTGTTTTCTGATTACAATGGAATCAAACTAAATATCAATAACAGAGAGAATAGAAGACAATCCCAAATAAAGAAACTAAGCAACACACCTCTAAATAATACATGTTCAACACTGAGAATCAATCAATGAAAACTAACAAGAAGAAAAATCACATGAAAATATACATCAATACAGAAAAATTATTCAACAAAGTTCAACACCCATTTATGAAAAAAAAAAACCTACAAGAGATAGGAACAAGGGAGAATTTCTTCAACGTGATCAAGAGAAGCCAAAAAAATCTGCAACTGAAAAGAAATATTGAGACTAAATGTTTCCCCTAAGAACGGCATTAAGACAAGAATGTCTATGCTCCCAACTCTTATTCAATATACTACTGGAAGTTCTAACCAGCACAATAAGGCAAGAAAAGAAAAGCACACAGATCAGGAAGGAGGAACATTGTTTGCAGATAACATGTTTTTCAATCCAGAAAGTCACAGGAATTTACAAACACTTCCTAGAACTAATAAATGTGTCCAGCAAGGCCTCTAGGATATAAGCCAAGCACTTACAAATGAACTGGATTTTCAATACTAGCAATGAACATATGGACCCCAACTTAAAAATACAAAACCACTTTGTGATAGCTTTCATCACTGTAACCAGTATCTGAGCTCAATCAACTTAGAAAAGTTTGTTTTGGCCCAAAGTTTTGTAGATTTCAGCCTATGATCAATGGGCTTTCATTGCTAGGACTTCTGGCAGCACACCCTGGCAGGAGCAATTGGAGAACCTCTCCTTCACACCTCAGCACTGGAAAGAAAGAAAAAGAAGAGGGTCTGGGGATTGCCATTGTCCCTTCAAGGGTGTGCTTCCAATGACCTGAAGACCTCCCACTAGTCCCCACGTAAAGTGTCTGCAAGCTGGTGAATAAGATCTTAAATATGTAAGATTTGGGGGAATATTCCAGCACAACACATTTAGAATTGACTTTAAAAATGCATAGGTGTAAATCTAACAAACATATATATAGAAGCTTTGTGCCAAAAAGTACATCATACTAGAACTCAAAGATCTAAATACAGTTGTTCATTGACTTATAAGGGGTTTCATTTCTTTATATGCTTGTTGTAAATTAAAATTATCTTAAATCAGTAATGCATGTAAGGGGCCTACTCTCCTGAACATCACAGCTGTGCCACACAACATCTTGCAATAGGGCATCGCTTGTCTTGCCTTGTGATCATGTGACTGCCTGGGAACTGTGGTTTGCTGCTACTGCTCAGCATCACCAGAAAGGGCTAGACCACTTATTCCTGGGCTGGAAAAACATCCAAATGAAGAGTATGCTACTCGATGCTTACGGCTTTTCTGCCATGTGAAGGTCAGAAATCCTAAATCAAACCATCCTAAGTTGAGGATTCTCTGCAATTCCAGACATGGAATTGCTGGATTGCACGATAATATTATATTTAAAATCTTAAGGAACCACCAAACTATTTTCCAGAGCAGCTGCAGCATTTTACATTCTTTTCTTTTTCTTGGGGCGGGTACCGGGATCAAACTCAGGACCTTGCGCTTGGGAGGCAGGCAGCGGAACCACTGAGCTAAATCCTCGGCCCAACACTTTACATTCTTATCAGCCACCCACAAGGGTACCAGTTCCTCCATGGTCTTGCTGACACTTGTTATTTTACTGTAGTTATTATTGTTTGATAATGGCCAGCCTACTGGGTATAAAATGGCTCATCCCACATTTCCTTTTTCTTTGGTACAGGGGACTGAACTCGGGACCTTGCACTTGTGAGGCAGGAGGTAGAACCACTGAGCTAAATCCCCAGCCCCTCATCCCACACTTCTTTTAACTCATGATCCTTCCACTAAAATATAATTAGCCAAAGTAATTTTGTGTGGTGATGATATATCAAGGAAATGTGTGGGGTCCACTACTGTCTGCATGACCGGAACAATATTTTGCTGAAAGGTCTGAGTCCATGGCTTCCAGGTGGTGACCAGTGAAGAAGGAGAATGAGTCATCACAGTTGTTGAAAATGGCTGGAAAGAGCATGGTGCTCAAGGAACAGCCTCCTGGAAGGTCGGCTGGTGGGAAGAGTACGAAATGATCTAAATTAACCTCAAGAAGGGGAGGAGAAATGATACATACTGTCAATATGTGCAGGTATATTTAAATGTGCATTGTATATGCTGACTAACTTCAATATTATTAAGTATGAGTTTCCTTGAAATACATATGAGATAAATGAAGATGAAAAAATTGCTAAACAGGAGGCCTTCATTTTTAAAGGTATCTTTAAAGAGTTTGAAATTTTTAAGTGTGCTTTTTCTTTTACTTGTAATAAAATATAAAGTGTACTAGTTAAGAGTTTAAAATGAAAAATGGCAGTTCTCTACCCTAATCTCTGCCTGTTCTCCAGGTACTAGTGTTTTCAGCTCTTTATTTTCACTTTTATCTTCGTATTTTAAAAATGTTACACCGCTACTTCTTGGTTTGAGACATTCAAAACTTCCTACTACAAAAGATATAAAGAATTAGATATTTTATACATCCCTGAATATATTTCTCTCCCCCTAGATTATATGTTCTTCTCTTCATTCAATTTTTAGTGAAATAAATGATCTGTATTGATAACTTCTTTTGACTATGAAATATTGTTCTCTGCTGTCAAGTCACATAAAATGATTATGTGTCGCTTGCACATTTTGTTTTTCCTGAGGTCAATAATTGCTGTGTTGCTTCATTTGATCAGTTTCTGTGTACCTATGGCTAATTTCTCTAAGTGTTCCCTCAGCTCTATCACACATATCAATAGTCCTATTTGTTTTTCCTCTAGAGACTTCTCTTCAGGTCCCCGTGCCTGCCCACTCCCACAGGGGTCTCCTACCTGGCTGTGGCCTGGAGGTCACCTCCCCTCCTCTCCTGCATGGAGTCCTGTTTCCTACATTCCATGTCATTTTCCTTGGTTTGCTTTCTTGTTCTACAGAAGCACAAGCTTCTCTAGTATCTTCTATGAAAACATACATGGGTAGTAAATTGGTTTTTTTTCCTAAGTACTGGGGATCCAGCCCAGGGCCTTGCACAAGTAGACAAGTGCTCTGCCCTGGATTAACCCCCCAATCCTGGGAAAACTTTGATCAACTTCAAACTAAAAGTTTGGGGATAAAATTCTAGGTTGAAATAATTTTCTTCCAAAATTTTAAAGGCATTTCCCTTTCGCTCTTCCTATATAGTTGATAACAAAGCAACCTTGATTCCAAAGTTTTTATAGATGAATTTTTTTTCCTTCAAATCATTTAGGATGTTTTTGTTTTTAGTTATTTTGAAATGTCTTGGGGAATTTTTTTTCTCATTGTTTCAGTATTTGGGGAAGATGTTCATTTCTGAAAAATGCTAAAAATGTTTTATATTTTATCCTTTACCTCTTTTACCTTCTTTATCTCTCTGGAATTCATGTTATTTGAATACTGGAA